ACACTTGAAGGATAGCCAATTCATAGGTAAACAAAAAGAAGATAAGGCATAACTGATAAAAATCAGCTTTTGCTTTCAAGATCGGGTGGCGAAGTGAATGAAGGAGAATTTAAATCTAACCTTTCTTTATAGCACTATCATCCATTGCCTTGTACTCCATGTTCTTCAAAGCAAGCTCCACACCATAACCAGCTAAGCTAACATTATCCCTTGCCCCAATGGCACCGCAGGGTCTACTTTTGCCTTCACAACCCAAAGGTAACACTGGTCTAACAACATATGTAACTTTGCCCTATAGGAAACCAAGGCTACATTAGAATGCACACAATAAAAGCAGAAAGACGCTTAGAAATGGAATCCCTGGACAATGGAGCCTGAAGTTGTTCATTCAAGACAGTGAAGAGATAAACAATTGAACCCCATACGAACGTACTTCTAAAACTTATGCCTCGTGATGAGCCTTCCTTATCTACCCCAATAACAGTCTACATTTTTCAACAATGAAGGAAAAGTTGACTAGGAAAAAGAGAGACCTCCATGGCTGCTTTAGCAAGCGAGAGGTGAAATTTCCTAAAGCAACTAGTCCCAACAGCCCCATAGAGAACGGCAACTGGACTTCCAGCTCTTGAATCAAAATGAACGTGATCAAATTCAAAAAGCTCGGGCCCCTGAACCGCATCTCCAGCACTGGCAATCAACAAAATCCAGCTTAGAAAGAGCTAATTGTAGTATTAACCAAAAGAAAACAGAAGAGAGAACGTCAATGCATACGCAGGAGGAGAGGCGAGCCAGGAGAGGAGATCCGCAACGTCATAAAAGAGGGAGGAACCAGTGTCGACCCAACAACAGTGAGTCCCAGAGGAATCATCACCGTGAGGGAAAGAAGACAGAGACTCATCAGCCAATTGACGGTAGAGCACAAGCCTAGGCGAGGCAGATCTCAGAGTAAGTGAGAAATGGAAGAGAGAAGCCACAGGTTGAGTCAATAGTGTTGATGCCTGTTTAGATATCTTAAGGAGACAATCTCTAGCGGATTTACAATCGGAATCATCAGTATCTCCATCGGAACCAATCCAAGCATCAGTGAACTCCCAGAACAGCTGCTTCGATTCCTTCGAAATCAACTCTCTATCACAACAAAGCAAACAATCGGATTCATTCTCGAAGCGCAAGAACAGTAACGATGGTGTTCGAACAAAAAAAGAAATGTAATATACAAAGCAATTACCCAGCCTCGAGAAGAAGAGGAGTACCCTGCCACTTAGCCCTAACAGCTACCTGAACATTCTTAGGTCTCCGATTCTGAGCGTTGACGCCGG